CACCCCTCACAGCAAGCACAACGGTGCATGTGAGATCTGAGTTGTTCTAATAACATAGAGGGAGGCAATACAAAGGAGTAAATACAACTACAAACATTTAAATAAGAGATTTACATTTTGAAAAAGAAAGACAAAGAAAAAACTATTATTAGTCCTTGCATGAGGGCCCACCTTCAATCCAGGACCATCATGTCCACTTCTGTACATCAATTCCATCTACAACATGCTTTCTATGGAAGGTCACATCCACTGGGAAGGTGGGATGAGGGGTCAGGGGGTGGCCATATCTATCTGAGGGACACAGACCTAATTTCAACCCACTGCAGCAGAGTTGGGGCTCCACAAACCTCACCCTCGGCGACTCAACACAATAAAGTGGAGAGCTCTGCATTATCTTTGATAGCTCACTAATTTCATAAAGGTCTAGATGAGACTATCTTTTTGTTTGTTTGATTTAGGGCCGCACTGGGCAGTGCTTTGGTGGGTGAGTGGTGGTGGGGTGGTGTTTCCTGTTCTGTGCTGGAGGTTCTCTCCCAGCAGTGCTCAGTGATGCATACAGTGCTGGGGGTTGAGCTTGTCTTCCTGCCTGCAAAGCATGTACTTAGCCTGTTGTGCCATCTCCCCAGTCTTATGGGGGCTCTCTTTACAGCTGCATGAAAATGAAAACACTATCTGAACCTATGGCCATTTATTACTTAGTAGGGATACTTGTTAAAAAAAATATCATGACACATAAAAGACCATACTAATCCCTGGACTTCTCTGGGTTGAGTAAAATCCCAGAGATCAGGGTCCCCGATGCATACAAGAGAGGGGCTTTCCCAGGACACTTTCATACCACATGGCATGGGACCCCCAACTCCTTCACATCAAGGGTTGGAGTCATCTTAAAAGCCGACGGTTCTGCACTGGACGCTGCTTAATTTTTGGTTTGTTCTAAGCTACTCCAAGTCTTCTTTGAAAAGTGGTGTGCAAACACACACACCCCTTACCCCCAATGCAAACATGTATTATGACTTCCTATTCTTAAACATTGTGTCCTTAATTTCTAAGTAAAGGAATAAATAACATGCTGAGCATCCCTTGGGGATGCGGAGGGGGTGGCCACCCTGACCCTTGACCCGGGTCTCCAAACACAGCTCTGCAAAAATGCCTGCTTATTCTGCTTCTCTGACTCAGCCACCTCCCCGCTGAACCGCCCCCTCACAGCTTCTCAGCTGACTCCTGTCAACCACCCACACTCCGGGCCTTCTCTTTCCTCTGCCTGGGCTTGCTTTCCTTCCTGAGTACACGGGCTATTGCTAGAGAAACCGAGGCTCACCCAGGTACCCTTCCCTCCAGGTCTATCTCACCTGGATGCAGAGAATCCAGTCACTCCAGTAGTTTTGCCCAGTTTCTCAAGTCATCTGCTTGCTGGAGAGGCTGGAGAGGTTTCCTCAAGCAGCCACGCCCACAATATTCTCTGAGAAACTGGTACCACCACTTCAGGGGTGGGGTGGGTCCTTCAAACCCTTGTCAGCTCCTGCACCACCTGAGGTGCTTAAAAGAACACACGTAGGTGAGAGATACTTTTCGTTTTGTTCTTATTCGAGAACCACAATCAGCAGTGCTCAGGGGTTATTCTTGACTCTGCATTTAGGAATTACTCCTGGTAGGCTCAGGCGACCATATGTGATGCCCGGGATCGAACCTGGGTTAGCTGTGTGCAAGGCAAACGCCTGACCTGCTGTATGATCGCCTCAGTCCTGAGACATGCTCGTATGTGGATATAAAGAAGCATGGTAAGGGGGTAGCAACCGGCCCAAAGCTGCAGCATCTAAGAGCTAGTCTATAGCACAGAGCTTTCCATTATAGTGAGTGGTGGGAAAGAGGGTGGGAATGGTGTGACAGGGAGACCCCGAGACAGTGGTGGCAGGAAATGGTAGGAAGTGGACAACCTGGTGGAGCTGTGGTATGTCGGATACATGAAACTCAACCTGTGACAGGACTGTAAAACTGGAAAGCACTGTAGTAGCACTGTCTTCCCGTTGTTCATTGATTTGCTCAAGCAGCCACCAGTAACGTCTCACAACAAACTGTGAGACTTGTTGTTACTGTTTTTGGCATATTGAATACGTCACGGGTAGCTTGCCAGGCTTTGCCGTGCCGGTGAGATACTCTCGGTAGCTTGCCGGGCTCTCTGAGAGGGGCAGAGGAATCGAACCTGGGGTCGGCCATGTCGGCTGCGTGCAAGGCAACTGCCTCACCCACTGTGCCATTGCTCTGGTGACAAAACATTTAAAATTAAAAAAGAGGAAGAACATCTCCGCAAAGCTCCCTCCTAGCCTCGGCAATGGCAATGGGATCTGCTTTTTTTTGCAGATCCTTCCAAAGCTGGCAGGGGGATGGGGGGCATTTCACAGCATTAGGTTGGAGGATGGTCTCAGTGGAGAGGCAGAGCCCAGATGTCACGAGAGGGTGTGTGATGGAAGGGGACAGTTGGGTTTCCCTGTCCTCCATCAAGATCAAAGTGGTGGTGAATGCGCCTTTGACAGCTGTCATGTGGCGGGGACCGTGGGAGAGCTCAGGGCAAGGCTGCGCTTTAACAGGACTTCCCCTTTTTCTCTGATTCTAGCCAGCAGTGAGGTAGCCAGTATTAGGACACACCTGCACACCTGCCCGGCCCTGGCTGGCTCACATGCTAGAAGCAGGGCAGAGTGTGGGTGGGTACATGCTTTTTGTTCTCGTCTCCAGGACTCCGAAGGAGGGAGGGATTACTGGCTCCTGGCAGGTCCCCAACTTTGTTTTTTTTTTTGGGGGGGGTCACACCCAGCAATGCACAGTTGTTACTCCTGGCTACTCGAGAATTACTTCTGGCAGTGCTTGGGGGACCATATGGGAATCGAACCTGAGTCAGCTGCGTGCAAGGCAAATGCCCTACCTGCTGTGCTATTGCTCCAGCCCCCAGGTCCCCGACTTTGACCGGTGCTGCCAAAGATGTAGTTTGCCAGGGATCTAGTTTGAAAGTTGGCAGGGAAAAAAAATCAATCATGAAATGCTACATATTAGCACACACCAATGCCCAGAGTATCTTGTCCCATCTCATTTAATGTTCTCCACCCTGGTAGGCAGATTAGTCTGACCCCAGATTTAAGCCTGTGGATCAAAACCATCCATGTAAACTTCATTTAGAATTGTTTTTCCCCAGGGGACCAGGAGGATTGGTAATAGTTGGAAATTACCACAGGTATGGGGGGGGATGGAGGGTAATCAAGATAAAAGAGGGTCCAGTATGACAATATAGTTGGAAATGATCACTCTGGACAAGAACTTAGTGTTGAAAGTAGGTAAAAAGATAAACAGAATTGTCACCATTTGTATTGCAAACCATAATGTGCAATAAACCACATTTATTGCAAGCCTAAAATGTGTGTGTGAAAGACAGAGACAGAGAGAGACAGAGAGACACAGAGATGTGCAGGTTATGGAGGGGGTGGGTAGGGGTGATGGGAGGAAATTTGGGGACACTGGTGCTGGGAAATTACACTGGTGGAGGGACGGGTGTATGACTGAAACCTACTATGAACAGCTTTGTAATGCTATCTCACGGTGATTCAATTATTAAAAAAAAAATTGGTTTTCCCAATGCTAGAGAAAAGGTACAGGGGTGAAGACACTTGCTTTGCACACAGTAGATCTCAATTCAATCCCCAGCACCACCGACTGCCAGTAGTGAGCCCTCGTAAGTGCAAAGTCAGGAGTGAGCCCTGTGCACTGTAGATGTTGTCCCCGGAACTACTATCCCTGACTGGTTTTCCCCAGTAATAATCAAAAAGTGAGCAAAGATGACTCAGATACAGGTGCAGGTGTGGCCAGGGCTCATTACTGCATTCATGGGGCTTGTGGATGTCTGGGAGTAGGTGGTTGTGGCAGCCTTGTGTGGAGCTGAGAGGGAGGAGAGCAGGACCCTGGGATCGCGGCCTCATCGACCCTCTGTCACTCACTTGAGCACCCGGGAGGAACTAACTGCTATGTCCGTAAATGACCCTCCCACCGAGTTTGGGCTGCTGGACAGTGTCCCCCACTGCTTTGCAGAAGCAAAGTCACCATCTCCAGCTTGCTGCCTGTAACTGGAGGCAGGAGGGACAGTGGGAGAGAGAGGAGAGGAGAGAGAGAGAGAGAGAGAGAGAGAGACAGACAGACAGACAGACACAGAGAGATCCCACTTTCTGCATAGACCACAGTACCCTCCCTGCTGTCCCTGTTTCTGTTACACTGCAGGTCACCGTAGGTGAGGTGGGCATCTGAACTCGGGAGAGCCGTGCTGGGCTGCTTTTCTGGGGTGATGCTGGACTACATCCAAGATCAGAGCTTTCACTTTTCCTTCTTCTCATTTCCAGCTCTGCCGCCTCCTCCAGGGCCAAGCTGCTTTGTCCTCTGCACCCCCTGGGTCTCCCCATGTCCGATCAGCCTTCTCTCCACTGAGCATTCTCACCCTAGGCTCAACGCCGGCCTGCCCAGCTGTTTTGGCCACACTCCCATGGGAGTTCCAGGAATATGGTCATGGTATAGGTCATCTCTGACTCCAGGCTCTACTCTGGCCTGTTTGCTTTGGAACCGTGGACTAACTGAATCTCATATGAAATCTCGAATGTGTGCCAACTCTGCTTTCCTCAGTGCACAAGGCCAGAGGGGACAAGAAAGAGGTGTGCAGCACCTGCAGGCTCAGGCAGCCTCCTGGGTTGTGGTACTGGGGAGAAGGAGAGGGAAAGACCACTCCTAAAATCTCTCCGGGGGCTCAGGACACTGGCACAGCAAGCATTTTGCATGTATGAGACCCTGGGTCCTTGGTACCAACACACACACTCACTCACTCACACACACACAGACTCACTCACACACAGACACACTAAAATCACTCTAGTTGATAAAAACTCAACCAATTCTTGAAGAAAAGGTAGAGAGAGAGAGAGAGAGAGAGACTGAAACAGAGTCAATTATTTTCCATATCACCAAAAGCATTAAGTAGCAAATGTACTTTTAATAATCTACAGATAAAAACTACTTTGCAAAGGCTGCTTCAGTCCCTACTCTGCAGAGTCTGAAGAAGTTGGTTAACCGGTTATTTTCATTATTTCACTTCATCCGCAGTATTAGAAAAACGAGGCGTTATAAAATTATGTCGAGATGAAATGTGTGGCTGGCAGCCAAACCCAGTCCTTATATTCCATATTTGCCCTTGAGCTCTTCTACTTTTTCAACGTAGGCTTTCATGGCACTGTCCTTGGAAGTCCCTGGAGGGAAGCAAGAAGTTCACAGGTCAGAGGGGAGGCAGGGCTGACCGAGAGCCTGTCGGGCTTGTGGGCTGACAGTGAGTGGCAAACGACTGGGCGGCTCCAGACAGGCCCAGACCACCGCAGGGAGCTGTGGTGACTTCGGGGCACTTGACTCTTGCCATGAGTTTGTGCCCACCGTGTCTTTCTCTGTGAGTTCCTGGAGTTACCTCCCGGAGTGGCTGAGCAAGCAGCATCAAGACAAAGCCAGGCACCTTCTTCTCCCCAGAGAGAAGATTCCAGAACTCTTAAGCACAGGCAGGAGAAAGAGGCAACTCACGGCCTCCTTGCTATGATATGGGACGCAGACTCCAGCCAAGATTGCGACCCTCCTCCCCCGCCCCCCCGCGGGCTCTCACTCCCAGACACACTGGGAGTCCAGGCATGTTCTGAGCCCTGGACAGCACGCAGGGCCGGAGAATGGTGTGGAAGCACCCAAGGAAAACCGAGAGGCTGGCGGGCATTCCCCCTCCAGTTATCTGAGAATCCCAGGAGTGTCTTTATTGTATTCTGGCCCCTTCTGCATTCAAGGGTTTCTTATTTGCAGTAAGACAGAGGGCCTATTCAGAAACCAGCCAGCCAGAGCACAAAGCCGGCAGGCGCTTTGGTGCCAACTGTGAGGTCTCGCTACGGCAGGTGGCACATGATTAAGATGGTGCCAGGACACTTCCTGGCTGCTGTTCTTTTGCCCGGAATCACTTCATTTTCTGGGCCTGTGTTGTCCAGCCCGGCTCACATGAGCTCATTCCTTCGTTCATGTAGCTCTGGGTGGGAGGAGCGGGAGAGGGCTACTTGGGCCGAGGAGTCACTGCCTGGCCTTGTGGGGAAGAGGTGGGGTGGGTGGGAAATCACCCTTCACCCTGAACACACACAAAGGCCCTGCTGATTAATATCGCCCCCCTCCCCCCTCCAGTCTGCTGTTTTAGTGGTCTGTCCACTCCAGAGGATGACTACTGTAAATAGGGTAGGGAGAAGAAGTAGGTGGCTGGGTCAGGCCCCCTCTCCTGGCACAGGCTAAGCTGGTTTCCAGCATGTGCCTCACAGAAGCTCCGTTTTCTCTCCTCTTCTCTAAGAATTCACTGTGAAGAGCATTTCCGCACTGGCTTCACCCACCAGGAGAAATGATCACAACCGTTACCTTTCAGCCCGTTCCAGGCATCCCACTTGGCCTTGCCTTTGAAGTCCAACATGCCAGGCCGCTCTGAAACAAGGAGAAGAAAGATATCAGAGCTGCCTCCAGGTGGGAGGAAGAACTTTATTACCCTCCTGGCTATGTAAAGCATCCTGTATTATAGCTACGTCTCCTGGACTCAGTGGCACAATCAGCTAGTACTCAGAATCAGCTATACTCGACCTTCAGAAAGGTGGATGTACAGAAACCCAAATGAAACGTCTCCAAAATAGAGAGGAAACCTTATTCCTTTTTTTTTTTTTAAGTTTTTGCTTAAAAAAAAAAACTTAAAAAACTTTTGCTTACTTTTACACCCAAAAGTAAGCTCAGGGCTTACTCCTGGCTCTGCACTCAGGGATCACTCCTGGAGGGGCTCAGAGGACCATACAGGATTCTGGAGAATGAATCTGGGTCAGTTGTGTGCAGGGCAAGCACCCGATGATACTATTTCCACCTTATGGCCCCGTGGAAACACTTACTATCGGACAATCCTGCCTTACAACTTAACTCTGAATTTCCTCCTTCTAAAGACTGCACTCTAAGAAGTACCACATCCACCGTCCACAAGGCCTAGATTTCAAACCTATAAAGCCAACTTCTCAAAGTTTCTCTTGAAGTCTGGAGTCCAGCCACCTCATTTCTCTCCCTCATACGTTACTTTCAGTTATTTTTTTCGGGCTCCCAAGCAATGCTGCAGAGTCTGGTGGCCATGTGTGGGGACGCTCAGCCAACTGGGATAGATCGTCCAAGGCTGGGGTCCAGAGATGTGGTACCACTTGGGCTACCACTAGGGGTCCATGTGATGCCAGGGATTGAACTTGGACTCTTGTGCACACAAGGTCCCAGATCCCAGAGCAGTCTCCCCGGCCCTCCCTCATGCATTTTGAGATCAGTTTCCTACACCCCTTCCGTCCACTCATGTGCATGCCCCATTAAAAGACCAAACCAAACTGTTAGCCTATATCTGAGTATGCGGGAGTGTTTTCCCAAGGGCACACTTTTCTAGGGGCTATCATAATTTTGTCCTCATCGACTGGTTTCGGTTGCAGTTGGGACAAGCACTCACCACTTACTTCCTTGATGTCCCATTTCCTTGCCATGCTGACAGCCAACCCTTAGGGTAGCCATGGTGCACCCACAGCCCAGGTCATGGTGTCTGGGGAAGTTCAGTCTCCCTCAACCCTTTCTGGGAGGTGATCCTGGGAACACCTGAGGGGCCGCCCACACCTGACTCAGCATTAGAATCTAGAGTCCCCTTGGTGACCATGGAAGTAGGGCCATGTTTCAGTGTCCAATGCAGGGACCACTTGCTCTAGGTGGTCACTGAAAACCTGAAATGTGACCTGTGTGCCCACGGACTGAACTTCTGTTTATTTTTTAGAGGGCAGTGGGGCGGGGGATTGATTGGGCCACACCAGGAGGTGCTCAGAGCTTACGCAGGAATTACTCCTGGCAGTACTCAGGGGCCCATTTGGGATGCTGGTGATGAAACTAGGGTCAGCCGCGTGTGAGGCAAGGGCCCTATGTTCTCTATTATTGCTTCAGCCCCCAAATTTCTGCCTTAATTTCCCTGCACTGCATTCAGTTGAAATCAAGCATGCCTCATGGGACTAGTGGGTGTCACACTCCAGGGCAGGGAGCAGCCCCGGAGGGCAGAGGTCCTGCGCAGGCCTTGGCAGGGTCAGTGCTCAGCTCCCCACACTCATGTAAGCATCTCTGCGAAGGCAGTTTGGCAAAAAAGCATCTTGACTCCTCTGGCCACCCAAACCTCACATCTCTGTGAGAGAGCCGTTCAGAAGCTAAGTCGAAAACTCCCCTTTGCCACAAGGGCTTTCTCAACTAGGTCTTCTCTGAGCCTGCACTGGGTTTGGCGCTGCCTGTGATCCTTCTTCGCTCTAGGCAAAGTGTGTCTTTGCTTCCAGCTGGCTGGCATCCAGCCCGCTGCTCCACACTCCACACCAACTGCAACGAATCGGGGATCGTGCCTAAGTGCCGGAACAGGGCTGGGGAGTGGGGATGGGGTGAGGGACCACCTACTTCCACACTGCCATGGCTACCCACCTGGGTCCTTGCAAATACCCCACTGTGAACTGTGTAACTGTCTGCGTATGCACAGAGTTCCAAGGACTTGAGCAGAATGAAAACGAGTCGAGGCGAGAAACATGGTCATCCGGATTACGGTGGTCCGAATGGTGCCCTCAAAGTTTATACCCAGGCTTCACGTCAGGGCATGATGAGTGTGGAGCACTTCCCAGGAAGTGTCCCGGGAAGCTGCTTTGGCTTTGATCCTGCCCATCTGGGGGCAGCTCCCAGGTGGCTCCATAAGGACAGAGTGGAGAGTTGGGAGCAAGTCTCTTTCAAGCCTGTGGGTGGCCCCTGTTTGTAGGATCTCAACTAGGAAGAAACCACTGGGTGATAATGAATAACACCCTTCCAATACTAGGACTTGGGGGCCGGAGCGAGAGTGCAGTGGGTGAGGCACTCGCTTTGCACACTGCTGACCCAGTTTCAATCCGAGACCCCTCATCTCGGTTCCTGAGCCCCACTGGGAGTGACCCCTGAGCATTGTCGGCGGGTGGTGCCCGGACATACAAAAAACCCCAACAAAACTAGGACTTGAGTTCTCCTACTTGAAACGCCAAGAAAACCAATAACAACACAGAGTCTGCGAACACTAGGCCGGAACATAATTCCAGCGCAAAGCCCGGGGAACTCCACCACCAGCCCCCCTCGCCACGACCTGCCAGGAGCAACTCCCCACAGTGGGTTTCATGAGGGAGATTCCGGCACACCGACAAGGTCTGGCTCTTCTGCTGTGATGAGCAGAGGCCCAGCTGGCCCGACATTCACCTGTATTCACGTCACCCACAGTTGCCTGCTTGAAATGGCTGTAGATGAACAGCATCTCCTCGTCGGTGGGCTTGGATTTGAGGTTCTTCACCTCCTCGGCAGCCTTGTCGAACTCAGCCTAGAGAGGCGAGAGCAGAGTTCAGTAAAGGAAAGGAGGGACTGGAAAAGTGTAAGTGGGGGTGGGGAGGGGGGAGCGATCAAGTGCATCCCCCATCCCACAATACACTGAGTGGCTAGAAAGAGTTCACGGGGGGAAAAAAAAGTTGCAGGAGCACATTCACTCCCTAGATGAGCAACTTAGTTTCGGGCGCTTTCCGCTGACCACGCACCGCGCCAACACCAAGCGTTGGAGATTGCGGCCGCACTTCCTAGGGGAGGGGTGCGGTGGTGTGTGTGTGGGGGGGTGGGTGGGTGGGTGGAAAGCAGCGTCCCTCACTGCCCGGTCACCCCACTGGGCCCGATCTGGGTCTCCAGTCCAGCCAGGCGAGCACAGCGCGTTCCAGGAGACACCAGCACGGGCGCGCCGTGGTGCCAGCGGCTGTCCCTTCCTCCAGGGGCTGCTGCGGTGTCCAGCGCTCGCTGACCTCTGTCCCCGTGCCCAGATCGCAGAGAGGCGAGAGGAGCCAGAGGTCAGGTTCGAGCAACTCGGCCCCAGAAAAGCGGCACAGTCGAAGAGCAGGACCCCCCTTCCTCCCCTCCCCCAGGCCCCCAGCTCCTCCGCGCCCGTTCCGCACTCAGGACTCCTGGCGTCCACTTCCCCCTGGCCGCCAAGCTCGGCGCTGGCCGCCCCGCTTCCCCGCGCCGCGCGGCGCTGCCCGTCCAGCCCTTCCTTCCGCCCCGGGGGTTCCGATCGGATGCTCGACTCCCCCTCCCGCCGCGCCCCCAGCCCCGTTACCCCGCGGGGCTTGCAGAAGTCCACGCTCCCCGTTAAGCGCGACTCTCCCGGGCGGCGGCGGACGGCGGTTCCAGCTCGGGAAGTCGCGCTCCCAAGGCGGTCCCGGGCTGGACGCGGGTCCCCGGGGGTCCTGCCCGCGGCCCGCGGGGCGCGCGTCCTACCTGGGACATGTCGGCGGGCGGCGGGGGCTCCGGGGTGGACGCCGGCGGAGAGGACAGCGCGGGGCAGGGTTGCAGCAGCAGCAGCAGCAGCAAAGGCAACGGCAGCGCCTTTAGGGGAGCGGCCGCGGCGGGCAGAGGCGGCTCGCGCGAGCGGGGAACGGCCAATCAGACGCGCGCTCGACGCGAGCAGGGGTGTGTCCAGCGCCCCGGCCCTGGTCAGCGCCGCCCGGGCCCACGTGGGCTCGCGGGCGCAGGCGCGGGGAGGAGCCGGAGGGGACGCCGGGAGCAGGTGGGGCAGCGCGGAAGGCGGGCGCGCGGGCCGCGGGTGGCCGGGGTGGGCCGCGGCGGCCAGGGGCCAGGGGCCAGGGGGCAGGGGGCCAGGGGGCAGGGGGCCAGGGCCGAAGGGCAGAAGCTTGAACACTTGTTCAGTCTCGGGCCCGGCGTGACGATGTAGGAAGTTGCACTTTGGGCCAATCGGACCAGTTAACCCCCCGGGCGGAGGGGAGCGCGCGTGATGCTTCTTCTTTTGGGGGGTCCCTAGCAGAGATCCTCGGGGCAGGATCCCTAAAAAGCAGCGGGACGGTGGAAGCTGACACAGTCCCTGGAGAGGCAAAGGCCTTATCTCTCTCTCCCTCTCTTTTTTTTTTGTTCGCTCTGAGCTGGTACTGGGACCTGGCCCGGGTCTGAGCCTGCAGTTTTGGGTGCGCTTTTCTTTTGGGGGGCTTGGGGTGAGGTGGGGGTGTGGCCTGTGTTCCCATCTGGGTCACCCAAGGTAGCATCAGTGTCTGGTCTTTGACCTCACAGTCTTCTTGACCTGAATTAAGGGCCCGGCAAACATGTGATAAATGAAGGACTGCCTCAAGTCACGAATAGTTCACTGAACTCTGGTCACTTGCGCTGCTGGGCAGGGGGACTTTTGAGAGGACAACAGGACAGAACAAGTCCGTTGATTTCTGCAACCTAGAGTGGACGTAAGGAGTTGATGGGCTCAGTAAAGGCTTTGTTAGGGCCTAAGAAAATCGGAAGTGGGGAGGTTTGGGGAAGCTGATATGGAGAGAGCCGCTTAAAGGGAGGATAAAGGGACCTGGGAGAGGTGCTTGCTTTGCAATGCAAGGAAATAAGCATTGCATGATTCCTGGAGCTCGTAGCAAAAAAACAGCAGCAAAAACAAGGAAGGAGTGGGGCCAGAGAGATAGTTCATGGGTAGGGTGCTAGCCTTGCATGCAGCCAACCACGGTTCGATCCCTGGCATCCCGTGTGGTTCCCTGAGCACTACCAGGAGTAATTATGAATGCAGAGCCGGGAGTAACCCATGAGATGGCAGGGTGTGCCTCTTCACCAAAATGAGGGAACATTCCTATAGAAATAGTTAATTGTTATTAGGGACTAAGGGAAAGAGAAGAGGAGAATGCAGTAGGTAAAAGCTAGGTGTTGGTTGCAGACCTTGTTCTTTAGCTTTTATTCCCAGGTGGGGCGTCATCAGAAGGTTTTGAACAGAAGCTGATGAGGCCAAGGTGGTGGACAGATCTTGAAAGTGACGAGGCTGAGGTGACGGCAGGTTTTGAAAGGCTGTTAGGGGCTGGACAGGGAGTGCAGAATGGATGGGTGGAAGAGTTTGGGAGCATTTCAAACAGACTAAGAGGAGAACGAGAACGGTCTGGCAGTGGTTACTAGGAGCTGGGTGGGGTGAAGGAATTGACAGTTTTTGGAAGATCATTGACCATGGTCATTTGTCTTCCGTTCTGCTTGAGTTTATCTATGTGAACTACATGGACTCATCCTCCCCCCGCCCCTGCCCTCGACCCCCACATACAGTTGATCACTGTGGGTGTATTGAAGGAAAGACCAGATGGAATCTTTCAGGTCTAACTTCCTAACTTAATGTAGATTAAACTTTATAAAATTCTTGGTAAGACGTGAAACTGGAATAGCAGTGAATCTTAGGGCAGGCCAGAAGAGCAGTACATCAGGTAGGACACTTGCCGCGCACATGGCCGACCTGGGTTTGATTGCCAGCACCTATATGGTCTCCTGAGCACTGCCAGGAGTGATGCCAGGTGTGGTCCAAAAAACAAAGTAAATACATGAATTTTGTTCATGACTAATTCTGATTGAGAAAACAAAGCCAAATTAGCTACATCTCAAAAGTTACATTTGGGGAATTTATATCTGATGTGAAAGATGTGGGGTTTCTTCCAAAATGACAATTCAGGGTTTTCTTCTAAGGTTCTGGTGGTTCCTGAATTTGTTTTTGCTCTAACATCTAGTGCTTACAATTTCTTAGCAGAAATTCTGAAGACGGTTACCCAGGGGGGTCACTTTTTAAAATTTTTTTAAATTTTAATTGTTTATTTATTTAAATTTATTTTAATTTTTAAAAAAATTGAATCACAGTGATATACACATTTAAAAAAGTTGTTCATGACCGAATTTCAGTCATACAATGTTCCAACACCCGTTCCTTCACCTGTGTACTTTTCCCACCACCAATGGCCTCAGTTTCCCTCCTGCCCAACACCCCCCCCACACACACCCCTCTACTCCCTGTCCCACTGCCTGCCACTATGGCAGCACCGTGGCAGGCACTTTCTCTCTCTCTCTCTCTCTCTCTCTCTCTCTCTCTCTCTCTCTCTCCTTTTGGGTCTTATGGTTTGCAATACAGATAATGAAAGATTATCAGGTATATCCCTTTACCTGTGCCCTTCACTCCCCACACACTCCTTTTTTTTTTTTTCTTTTTGGGTCACACCTGGCTATGCACAGGGGTTACTCCTGGCTTTGCACTCAGGAATTACTCCTGGCAGTGCTCAGGGGACCATATGGGATGCTGGAAATCGAACCCGGGTCAGCTGCATGCAAGGCAAATGCCCTACCCGCTGTGCTGTCTCTCCAGCTCCGCCCCCACCTCCCCCCCACGCTCTTGTGGCAAGCGTCTAACCATTGACCTGACGTCCTGGCCCCTGTTTCCCCTCATATATATTAATATACATAATATTTCTGTTATATTGTAGGTGGGTCACTTTTGCAGTCACATGCATCTCCCAGTCAGTAGTAGTTCTTGTTTTTTGATTTTGGTCATGCTGAGCTTCAAACCCAGGGCCTCACACAGACAGGCATGCACTCTTACCACTGAGTCACACCCCTGGCCCTAGCATCAGTAGAGTTTTTTTGGTTTGTTTCTGGTGTTTTGGGCCATACCTGGAGACACTTAGGTGTCACTTCAGCGTGCTGCTTGGGGGAACGTGCAGAGCTGGGGATCAAACCCAGATCTGCCTGCAAAGTCCTCTGAGCCGTTTCCCCGTCCCTCTGCCCTTCTGGTCTTCCCTCTCTCTCTCCTCTCCCCTCCCTACCCCTCCCCTATCTTTCCCCTCCTCTCCTCTCGTTTCCCTCTCCCTCTCCCTTCCTTTCTTTCCCCTCTTTTTCTCAGCCTTTCCCTCTCCTCCATTCCTTTCCCTTCCCTCCCCCTTTCTTCCCTTCATTCCTGTGTCAGGAATCGAACCCAGGGTCTCACAGGTAGAGGCATGTGCTTTCCTGCTGCACCTGTCACTCTGGCCTGTCAGCAGGTTACCTTGTTGTGTTTAGCACTTGTGAAAATATTAGACACCTCTGGAAATGTAATTTTCTTTATTTTCCTTAGAGATTGGTATGGAGCGATAGCACAGTGGTAGGGCGTTTGCCTTGCGCACAGCCAGCCCGGCTGAGCCGGGTTTGATTCCTCTGCCCCTCTTGGAGAGCCCGGCAAGCTACTGAGAGTATCTCGCCTGCACGGCAAAGCCTGGCAAGCTCCCCATGATGTATTCGATATGCAAAACACAGTAGCAACAAGTCTCAAAATGGAGATGTTACTGGACCTGCTCGAGCAAAATCGATGAACAACGGGAGAACAGTGACAGAGAGATTGGTATGACTGCATTTTTAACTGGAGTTAGTCACATTGTAGGAAACAAGTTATTTATTTATTTATCATTTTCTGCTTTTTGGGTCACACCTGGAGATGCATAGGGGTTACTCCTGGTTCTGCACTCAGGAATCACCCCTGGTGGTGCTCAGGGGACCATATGGGATGCTGGGAATCGAACCTGGGTTGGCTGCGTGCAAGGCAAATGCCTTACCTGCTGTGCTATTGCTCCAGACCCGGAAACAAGTTTTTTAAAGCTTCCAACTAGATAGTTTGGATAAGGAGCATCTTGACCTCTGTAGCACCACATGGCCTGAGTATAAAGTAGAGCACAGGGAAGAAAGGCAGTTTGTATTACCAGACCATTTTGCAGTTAGATCTTTTTTTTTTCAGGAAGCAGAAGAAATAGGATTATCAAAGCAGAGGAGGCAGGAAAATGCAAGATCATATGGTTAACCGTTTAATATCAGGAACGAAGAAGTGTGTCACTAAGGCAGCCTATCCCCATGTCTGATAAGAAGATACTAGCTCCCTGCCTCAGAACTGGTCTTGACCTTAAAATGCTAGCATCTGACCACCTTAGGTTTCAACAACTTTGTCATAGTTCATTTTGCCAGCTTATTATCAATAAAGGGCTATAGCAATAATGCAGCGAGTAGGGCCTTTGTCTTGTGCGCAACCTACCCAGGTTTGATTCCTCCGTCCCTCTCGGAGAGCCCGGCAAGCTACCGAGAGTGTCCCGCCCACAGGGCAAAGCCTGGCAAGCTCCCCATGGTGTATTCGAGATGCCAAACACAGTAACAACAAATCTCACCTTGAAGACATTACTGGTGCCCGCTCGAGCAAATTGATGAACAGTGCAGTGCTACCGTAGGAAACAAGTGTTTGAAATTAGCCTGGCAGTCTCTAGTGTAAGTGCCACTTGTTTGGAGTACACTAAACTTTTTTCAGAAGGAAAAAAGGTTTTTTTCCCCACATCGTGGTATTTTTGTTGTTGTTGTTGTTGAGGTAAATCTAGGAAAGTTGCTTCAAACAGTTGAAGAAACTAGTTTATTGGAATCATTGGAGAGGATAGTGGACTCCAAGGCAATACTGCGTACAAAATGCTTCACAAGAAAGGGTTCATCCCAGACCCGATTTCATAATAGCGGAAGGCATGCTCTTTGACCTATTTTTCTGTGTCCCTCCTGTCCCCAGTGATCCTTTGGCTAAATGCCACCTGGGGCAAGGCCACTTTACCTCCTCCCTTTGTCACTTTACTTTTCCAGGGCCTGGTCAGGTCCCTGAACGGTGTGAGTGTGGGTGCAGGCGCAGGAAAAGGTTGAGGTGTGCTTCCCCCAGGACTTAGGCTGGCATCCAGTTTCTAACAGAAAAGAAGTATGCCAACAAGC